GCCCGCCTCTTGCGGTCCCGGGCAAGCTCCCGGGAGCCACCAGCCTGGTCCCGGGAAGAGGGGGAGGGCTGGGGGGCATCGGGTGGGTGGCTCGAGCCGTGCCAGGTGCAGGGTCTGCTAGCTGGGTGCTGGCAGGCTTGCACCTGGCACTGGCACTGTAGCCAGCCCGTGCCCCTTTAAGGGCTCCGGGGCCGGGAGGGGGGCAGAAGAGTTTCCCTGGTGGTGCCCAGAGTGGCCACCAGGGAAAGCTGGGGAGGGCTAGCCTCCCACTAGTTCGAATTAAGTGGCTACACAGCCCTTAATTCGAACTAGTTAATTCGAACTAGGTGTTAGTCCTCATGGAATGAGGTTTACCTAGTTCGAATTAAGCGCACCGCTAGTTCGAATTAAGTTCGAACTAGCGGTTTGCATGTGCAGCGCCTATCAAAGTTAATTCGAACTAACGTATGTTAGTTCGAATTAACTTTGTAGTGTAGACATACCGTAAGTTACATAAATAGTACTATCTAGGGGAAAGTATTTAGTAAATAAAATAATATATTGGCTACAATTAGCACCACTGTGATTTTAAGATGTATAATATTTGAGGGCGTTGATCTCCACTACTCCTCCTTTGATTTTGTCTACCTCAGAGATTCCCTGTCATGGACTTAGAGAAGCTCCCACCCAAAGTCATTATTATCGTGCTATTTCAATTGGAACTTTTAAGAATACAAAGCACTTTCTTTCCTCAACAACCGAACATACTGACTTATCAACTATGAGAATGAGAAGCTATTGCATTGCCACTAGGCTTTAGGACTTGCCCAAAAGTACTACTGCACCATATTTTTGGTATTACTAAAACATATATTACTTAAAGCCCAGTCCTAGAAAAGAAAGGTGCTGCGTACTTTTGGACATGATTTCAAGAGTGGTGCTCAGCACTAAAAACAAGAATGAAAAGCAGAATTTAGGGGGGGAAATGAACTTTATAAGCTTCAGATATTCAATTTTAAATTGGCAATTGCTGTTTCAAAATTTTAGCATGATGAAGAAGGTTTTAACCAAACCTTACAAGCTGTGATCATTTAATATATATAATTATCTTCATTCTGGTTTTTTTAATGTGTCTAGATATTATTACCAAAAATGCATCAATAGAAGCAAAGCAGAGCCAAGTTTTTTTTTTAAATTGGGATTTTTCAAAACTGATGTGAATGGGAACTGCTGAGCTCCTAATTAAGTTCCTATATAGATTTAGAAACCACCTCTGAAAAATCTTGGCTCAGGTGTTTAAAGTAATTTTATTTCTGATGTTCACATTTGAGTAATATAATTTTGCTCCCTATTAAAGCTTTGCACTTTTTCAGGTTGAATAGTTCAAGTAGTATACAAGGGTCCATGTCTCCTTTGAAGTCCTCCAAGGTGTCAGTAGCTGTTTCACCCTCTGCAAAGAGAATAAGCAAAAGCCCTACATCCTTAGGATCTAATTTAAAAAGGTACATTCTTTTATCTGTATGAGGCTTTCTGGGTGATGTAAGGGAGGGTTATGTCACTTTCTGTAAAGTCACATGACAAAGTATGAAGTAGGCCATTGTGCTTGCTTTATACATTTGTCATTCATGTTTGAGATTGAATATAAATTAGTGGGAACACTCCCAAAACATATAAAATTCTGTTCATCTCAAGAAAACAGTTATGTGAGAAACCACATGTCCCTGTTATCAACTTTCTATTTGTTGCCATTAGGTAATAACTTAAATATTTCTGCTATTCTGAATAATGTTGAATGTTAAATGAAACTTGCAATGGTTGATGGATTTTGACATAACTTCTGGTCATAATGAATATTCATTAAGATAAAATGAGGTGTTGTATTAGCTCAAGTAAATGCTTTAGTGAACTTAAGGCACCTTATTTTTACTCTGTGAATATTCATTAAATAGCTTTTTGGCTACTTTGGCTTGTCTTATATTACTACTTTTGAGATGCAATTTTTATAGAACTTGGATTTGCATTATTTCAAAGAGAAAATAAAGCTGTGTGCTGCTACCGTTTATGTGTGTCAGAATGGTCCTTGTCATTTTCCCCCAATGTCTTTAAATGTGGTGTGTGAGTGTGAAATCTTCACATGTATATACATTGCATGTATTTTTTCCCACATGTTTTCCACTCAGCGTTTCCGTAAACTCCAGGCTAGCCAATTCTCTAGGGAACCTGTATGCCGCCTCAGATGACACAGAGAGCAAAATGACGTCAGCATCCTCTAGGACAGGTTTTTCTGTAAACCAAATCTCCAGTCATTTGAATGGCAGCTTGCAGCTGCCTGTCAGAAATTACCATGAGCTGAACAACAACCTATACAACAGAAGCAGCAATAATGGCACCAACCTCAACAGTCATGCCAGTTCTCTCCGCACCGGGACAGATGATGACTACAGCATCTACCATCCCTCCTTTACTGGGTTAACTGCTACTCCAGCACGATACCTGAGTCGTTCAATTCCTGTAAGTTCACAGCCACAACAGCCCTCTCAGGGATCTGACAGAAACTTATCTACCTTGCTTCCTCAGCCAAAACTATCACAAAAATCTCTTAATTTCAAAGCAACTTTTTAATCCCTTACCTTTTAAAATTTCCTGAATGTATATAGCACCTTTGTCTATTTCTAATGTTCTTTCAGCTGCTTCCTCTTTGCCTCTCCAGAATTTGACTCAGAGAAAGGTGTCATGAAAGTGGACAGTTTATAAAAGTACCTATCATGATTACAGCTCCTGATCTGGGGTTTTTTTCCATTTCAAATCGTTTGTTATATATCGGAATTCTAAAAGTTATATGTAATATAGGATTAGAGAAACTGCTTTGTATATATCACACTGAATTGAAAATAAGTATGAGTAAAATCAATTCTTTAAATAGTCGCCGTTGAAATATCTTCATTTCCAAACTCTGAGTTCAATAGTTAAAGGTAGTATGCCAGCCCTAAGAGTCCACCTTCTATTTTTCATGGTTTTATAACACTGTTTTACTTTTGAGGGAGGAAAGACTTGAGAATGAGTAGAAAGATATAAATGCTTTTTCTTTCTTGCTGTAAAATACCCGTAGAGAGGTCCACTGATATAGTAGTGAACTCACTGTACATTAACAACAAGGAGTACTGTAGCACCTTACAGACCAACAGATTTGTTTCTTTCATGCATTATTTGTTAATAAACACTGGGTGTGTTTAAACCCTCAGAATAAAGATCATTTTAGATATTAAAAGATCACAGTTTGTTAGTCATAGCCAACAAATTTTTCCTCAGAATATTAAGTCACTTATTTCACTATTTGAGCATGCAATGAATGTTTTCTCTTCTTTTATAATCTTTATGCTTATAAGTGCCCATTGAAACCTTCTTGTGACCATTTTCCTTTTGTGCACATTGCCTCAAAAACTCTCCTTCATGGCCTTCGAAATGTATCATGTTGTACCTGGGTTTAACTCTGAAAGGCATTTGGAAACTGCAGCTGATGCAGAATGCAATGATTTAGTATGGTCCAATTGGCCTTTGAACAATTTTTCCAGTGTACCAAAGAACCCAATTCCTGTTTGTTTCCAGCTGTGTTTTAAGATATTGATATTGTTCTTAGCTTTGTGTGATTTGTGTTCTACACATCTTCCCATGCACAACTGTAATTGTTGAGATCAGCTCTCAAACCCATGTCAACATCTACTAGATTTGTAATCTTGGCATTAGAACACTAGCATTTTCAGTGGAGACCTTGCAATAGTCTTCCTTTTCAATCGGAGAGACCAAGGTACAGTGTAAACACTTTTCCCTGAGATATTTTGGACAGGACCATTTTTTATATTTTTAACAGCTTAATTATGGACTACAGCCCATTTATTTTTTATTAATCAATACTTTTTGTTAATACAAAGCCAAACAACTGTGGTAGATACAGTCTTCCATTTGAAAAAAATTGAAAGCAGTGATTGCTAGTTTTCAGTCATTCATGGAGGAATTACTCAACATGTACAAGTGTCTTTTCCATTTGAAGTCCCACAAAGTCAATTTTGTCCCCATTGTTGTTAAAGGAGTATGTATTTAGCCATTTAGATAGCTGAGCATGTAACATAGTGTCATTGATCTGTAAAGTATTACTGTCACTGCAGAGGTCTTCAGTTCTCTCTCTTTTCTGTTTGGCTCCAGATTGTGGAGTAGAGATAAAATAGCTGTTTGAGGGCCAACACTGAAGTATTGTTAATGGAATGATGAAAATATCAAGAAGATTTCATTTATTTAGTGACCGTTTTATCCATTTATTATGTTTGCTATAGGCAGGTTGATGTGTTTTGAACTCTGGTATCATTTTATGAGAATTTGAACATGGAAGATCAATTTTTATAGTGATCAAAAATGACTTTTTTCATTACCAATCTATTCTGCAATGGCAGCCTTCCTTCTGACCCTAGATATACCACAGTGATTCAGGTCTCTTTGATCTCTAGGCTGACATACTGTAATGTACGTTGTTGGAGCTTTTCTTTGAAAACTACTCATAGATTTCAGCTTAGGTAGAACATAGCAGCATGTCTTCAAAGAACTTCACCATGAAATTTGATATGTTATCCATTGATGGTAATTATCAAAGTCTTAATATTTAAACTTCAAAATAGTACTAGTCTGCTTAAGGGACAGCCTGCAGTTAAGGTTGGAACAGTTGAAAAGAATTTAAGGAAGTTCAAATACTAAGACCTTAATGATTACCATCTATTGGATAACAGATCATCAATTGTCGTGAGTCCACTAATCCTGAATGTTTGTGTGTGCACTTTTGCTGTACCTTACCAAGTGGTTATGTTTTCTTTCCATTTATATGGTGGTTTGGTGGATTATTGATCTTATTATTTGGCCACTTTACTGTGTTTTATTTTATAATTTTTATGTGTACAGGCAGTCCCCGGGTTACGTACAAGATAGGGACTGTAGGTTTGTTCTTAAGTTGAATTTGTATGTAAGTCGGAACTGGCGTCCAGATTCAGCCACTGGTGAAACTGACCAGCGGCTGACTACAGGAAGCCCGAGGCAGAGTTGCTCTGCCCCGGGCTTCCTGGAATCAACCTCTGATCAGTTTCAACAGGCTGAATCTGGACGCCAGTTCCGACGTACACACAGATTCAACTTAAGAACCCCAGGCGTCCCCAAGTCAGCTGCTGCTGAAACTGATCAGCAGTTGATTCAAGGAAGCCCGGGGCAGAGCAACTCTGCCTCGGGCTTCCTGTAGTCTGCGCTGGTCAGTTTCAGCAGCGG